CCCCCCCCTCCGCTTCTCCAGCCGCGGCTTCTCGGTCCTCAGCGGCGGTTCCCGGAGCGCGGGGAAATGCCGCATCCCGACAATGGGCGCCCGGGATTGCTGCCTACATCGGGATGCAGCTTGTCCCGAGATGCTGCCTGACCCGGGATGCTCCTTACTCCGGGATACTCAGTCTCAGGAAGCTGTACTCCTCGGGATGCTGCCTGCCCAGGGATGCTCTCTGCACTGGGATACGGGCTACACAGGGTTGCTCCCTCTCCCGGGATGGTGGCTGCCTTCGATGCTTCTTGCTTTTGGATACTCGCTGCCTCAGGATGCTGCCTGCCCAGGGAAACTCCTTGTCCTGGGATGCTCCCTGCCTTGGGATGCTCCCTGTCCTGGGATAATGACAGCTTCAGAATGCTGCCTGCACTCCCGGACAGTCACCTAAAGGAGCACAGTGCCAGCCTCTAGAAATAACACTGTCCCTTTCCTTCCCGCAGCGAGGTCTTATCCCCTTGCTCAGTAGCTCTGGGGAAAAGTCACTGACCTTGACTTTGGGCAGACGGCACGAAGGCTGCTGTTCCCCATCCTGGGCTGGGTGCCAATGTCCTCACTGGGCCTGTGGGAGCTGAACTGTCCCCCATGAGCCTGCCAGTGCTGGGATGTTTCCCTAAAAATGCAGCAAGTGTTGTTAGAGATACAGAAAAAGCAGCACATCTTGGGCACTAATGGGGGGGGGGGGGGGGACAGGTAAACATGACAGTGAGAAATGTTCCTCTTTCTGCTGGTGTTTTGTTGGTTGTTCCTGCAGGTTCCTGAGAGCCCTTAGAACAGGCACTTGCTCTGTGGGGAGCTTTTCTAGGGAAAAGTGGGGGCAAGAGAATAAAAAGTTGGTTAAAGCAAACTACAAGGGTCTGTAAGGACAGAACAAGGGGAATGGCTTGAACCTGCCAGAGGGGAGACTGAGATGAGCTCTTGGGCAGCAGCTCTTCCCTGTGAGGGTGCTGAGGCGCTGGCACAGGGTGCCCAGAGAAGCTGTGGCTGCCCCATCCCTGGCAGTGTTCAAGGCCAGGTTGGACACAGGGGCTTGGAGCAACCTGCTCTAGTGGAAGGTGTCCCTGCCCGGGGCAGGGGTAGGAGCTGGAGGAGCGTTGAAGTCCCTTCCGACACAAACCAGGCTGTGATGCCGGAACTACAGAGCTTCTGTGCTTTACGAGGGATTTCGTTGCAGAACTTGCCTGCAGCGTCAACCCCTCAGTACATAACAGTCTGTAGCCTTTGCGTTTTCAAGTGAGATTTCATAGAGATAAGTCTGCTTAAAAAGGCACGGTCTCGTACTCTGAACACCTTATGTACTTCCTCTGCTTTACGCTTACCAGGACACTGTCCTTTATACTTTCTTTAACCTAAGCACAGCAATAATATTTTCCCTCATTGATGTGCAATCTGGAGACTTTTTCCTTCTTAAAGCTTTTTCCCCCCTTATATCTTTGCTCTTTGAAGGTAATTTCTCATTCTTCTTTCATATGTCACCCTGTTCACAATTTTTATGCTCTGCTGCACTCGTATGATGCTGCATAAACTGTCCAGCACTTGCCTAAGGCAACCACCAATGAACATTATTTGAAGTGAGACTATTTCTGTCAGTTGACTCAAGCATTTTGGGCACATTTTGCTGTCTGAAGGATGTTTACATAGTCACCAGGCAATTTCAGTTTAGTGGAAGGCAGAGCATTTACTTGAAGAACCTTGGGTGGTGATTGCTCATCATTGCAGTTACTAATCACCTACGGAAGGCACCACAAAGTGCCTTTGTGCAAAGCTGAGGCACTGTGGCCAGGCTCAACGTTTCAGTCTAAGAACATCTGGATTTAGATAAAACAAGGTGTTCATATGAATTTTGGCAAATCTGAACTATTTCACATTCACCTCAAGTATCAGTTAACTTATAAAACATGGAGTGGTTCCCATCTGGGTGACTTTGGGCATCCTAAACCAACCTGAAATAACCTTTTTTGTTGTTTTTATATCAATATACACATGGAAAAGACTACATTATGCAATGCATCCCCATGGAAGTGCCCCTCCATCCAAGATAGCACAAAAAGCAGTCAGGATTTAAAGCTTCCCTTTACATACTTTGTTACCAACCTGGCATCAAGTTATTAAAATAGCTGCATCTCTGTGACAGGTCTGGAGTTACAGAAGGTGTTTGTTGGCGTATTTGCTTCTGAAGCATCTGATATATTCTCACTGCTCCTGTGGTTCTGCAGGGGAAGGGACAAAAAGGAAACAGTTAATGCTGGTTGCAAAACGTATGGGAAAATCCTGAGCTTAGTTCATGCTGATCTTGAATAATTCGTGTAAAACATTTGTATTCATGACTTCCACGACCATGGAGGATGGGTTTGATCTAGGAACTCTAGACACAATATAGGTTTGCATTTGAACCGAGTTGCGGAGCAAGCCTGTGGGGTTTAAAACGTTTCCAAAGCTGTTTTGTTGGGCTGTGTTGTTGGCAGTGTGCTGAGTGCGTGCCCCCAGCTTCATCCATCAGGGTAGGGTTAGACAGTCATCAACTGGCACAGGGTGCCCAGAGAAGCTGTGGCTGCCCCATCCCTGGCAGTGTTCAAGGCCAGGTTGGACACAGGGGCTTGGAGCAACCTGCTCTAGTGGAAGGTGTCCCTGCCCGTGGCAGGGGTTGGAACCGGAGGAGCTTTAAGCTCCCTCCCAACCCAAACCAGTCTGTGGTTCTATGAAATTAGCTGCGTGTGAGGGCTTTCCTTTTGGGAAGCAGCCTAAAGAAATCATAAGATGGCTGGTTCCCAAGAGCTTAACCAAAATGTAATGTGTAATGCTCAGGCCTGCGAATCTTAAGAGTGCATTAGTCATCTGGGATGAGATTGGTGCTTTGGGATTTGGGGTCATCAGTACAAAGTCTGAGCACAGACCTGCTGAAGAGCTCATGAGGTCCCTTGTGGAATGCATAAACACGGCTGCTCCTCCAAAAGAGGGTGCAGGAATCGGGGAGAGGGTGGGCTGTGAAGGAGCAGGACGTGCAAACCAGATTTTGGGGAGGAATAACACAAGGGGTATTGAGAGTTCATTCTTCACAGAAAGACCTCTGGTTCTGGGCTTGCAGGGAGGGTTTGGGAGGGAAGGGAGCAAGCATTTAGTTCTTTAAAGCACAGAGTTGTCTGGTTTTCAAGCACAGAATTTTAAAGTAGCCATAACTCTGCCATTCCCCTAGATCTTGTGCCTGTCTCTAGGGAAAACCATCTCAAACTGGCTGCTGCTTCGGATGGGGTCTTGGGAATCACAACTTGGCAATGTTAGCAAAGAAAGTTGTATAGGAAAGTCTTGTGAAATAAGTGTTCTGGATTTTCTGAAGCTGTAAAATAGTGAAATAGAAATAGCTGTAAATTATTTTACCATTTTTTAGGAGCTGGTAAAAGCTGTTTGTTTCTCTACAGGGAGCAAAATGCTATTTGCTATTGTGCCCACTGCAATGTGGTTGTTGGTGCACCTCACAGCAGGTAAGATGTGTATTTTTATTTTTATGTAGCAATTATCACTAAAAGAAGCACTGAGGTTAAGTAGGGGTTTTCAGTTTCTCTGTTGTGTGCTGGTAAACATCTCTCTACTGGAAAGATGCTTGATTAGGTTTATACTGTAATTCCTGTGACAACTCCCTGATCCACTGCTACCACTGAGCATCCCTTGTTCTCCACTGCAACACCACTTGTCCTGGCCATCCAGGCAGGCTGTGGGCAGCACCCCACATACTGGGAGTGACCTGGGCAGGGGTACAGCCTCTCAGCAGAAGCAGAAAATAGTAAATAGTTGCAGTACAGCAAATAATTACTAAGAAGTTACGCAGGGAGGTTATTTGGTTTCGTTCAAGGTAGAGGTGTTGGTTACGTGAGACATCTCTACAGTTAGCTGCCACAGAGACTTCAGAACTCACAGGTGAGGGGAAGTGGGGCTCCCAAAGTGCTTCCCTGTATCTTCTGCTGCTGCTTGGCTGGTTTGACCAGAGCGCATGTGTTCTGGAGCCTGCCAGCAAGTCCCTGCTCCCATAGCTGAGCACAGCACTGCCTGTCCCCATCTGCATCCTGTGCTACCTGGAAAAGATAACAACATGCAAGGGGAGGTCTCTGCATGTTAACGAAAACATTACTTGTCTCTTCAATAAGCCTGCCATTGCTTTGCTGAAACACAGATGTTGCCCTAAACTGCAATGAAACAGAGAGTTCTGGTTGATAGATTTTGCCTGGGGTTGTGCTGGTTGTACGATGACTGGTACCTCGCCTGTGGTTTCTGACTCCAATCGATCAGGTTGGTGAAGACTGGGCACAGCGATCTCTCCTAAGTTACCATGCACAGGCAGGAATTCCTGCACGATTATGGGGGACACCCTCTTCCTCGAGCACAGCGTGTTGCACAAGTGCTGTATCCACATTAAAGCTTTGTTCTCCCATTCTGTTGCAGAAGTGTGCAGTAGAGGGGATGTGGCTGCCGACAGACTTCCCCGCGGCGCTGCAGAACTATGTGACAAAGGGAACATGACTGCTAACACCTCCTCCCGTGTCCAGCCTGGGAGCAGCATCACCCTCTCCTGCCAGCTGAAACCCCAGCACCACATCAAGCAGTGCAGGATAGCTATTTTCTTTAACAGCTCTGAACTGACTAGCAGTTACGGCAGTTCAGTAAGCACCAGGTTTCTAGTCCACGCCTATGGCAAGCACATGTTTACTTGCAAAATACTTTGTGAATATGGGAAAAAACTCATTTGTGGAATCGATATTGAGTCTGGAAGTAAGAAGATTTTCATTATTCCTTGTTCTTAACACCCCCCCCCTCAACTATGATTCTTATGATTTCCTGTGGCACCACTGAGACACATTAGAAACCAGCAGTAGGTGGCCTTTCCCAGACAAGATGCTGGGCTTTGGTGGGTTTTTGTATTGAAAGTATTCCTGGCTGGAACTGTGCAACTCCATTACTCATAAACAGAGATGCTATGGGAAAATGTATACTGAGAGCAAGTATCATTCCACCTGCCCTACCCCTGACACCCTCCAGTGTCCCAAGGACACAGGGGACTTGGAAGAAAAACTCTGAGGGAATTTTATACTTTCTTTTATCCTCAGCTGCTGCTGCTGCAGCCGTATTGGTGCTGCTTTTGCCTTTTAAATAAGAGTAATGTTTGATTGCTTCAAGCAAAGCTTGTGGTGCCTGGTCCAGAGAGCTAGTAAAGCCTTGTGTTCATCTGGCACCCTTGTAAAGTCACTTGGGTTTCACTCAAGTGTCTCAACAAGCTGCAGTCAACTCTTTTCACATATAAAAATTATCAGGATGAATATTTTACACTTATTTGTCCATAAACACTTTAAAAAGGAATCAGCACAAACCCAGCATTTCTTAAAATGTCTCCCATCAACATCTTTAAGGAAGACTGACAAGAATATCTGTTTAAGATCCCCCAGATGAGCCAAAAAACGTGTCGTGTATTCAGCATGGGACCGACGGTCATCCCGTCTGCACCTGGGATAAAGGCAGGCTCACGTACATCAACACTACGTATGTAGTACAGTAAGTAACACAGGGGTTCTTTAACACCATGGCTTGAACCTGCCAGAGGGGAGACTGAGATGAGCTCTGAGGCAGAAGCTCTTCCCTGTGAGGGTGCTGAGGCGCTGGCACAGGGTGCCCAGAGAAGCTGTGGCTGCCCCATCCCTGGCAGTGTTCAAGGCCAGGTTGGACACAGGGGCTTGGAGCAACCTGCTCTAGTGGAAGGTGTCCCTGCCCGGGGCAGGGGTTGGAGCGGGAGGAGCAGTACAGTCCCTTCCAACCCAGACCAGGCTGGGATTCTGGGAAGATTTACCTTATCAAAGCACATGAAAGAGCTGGTTTAGGAGTAAGTCATTCCAAAGCTGCCATGATCATAGGAGCCAACTGGAGCAGAGGGGTTTTAAACCCCATTCTCTGCTCACATCTGTGTGCTCCGCATTGCCGTATATTGGCTCTTTCTGGGTTTAGCAGGTAAAGAGGGCATGCCAAAACACTGCTCCCTTTTGGGAAGGGAAGTTCATCAAGGGAATTGGTCTTAAAGCAGCTACTCAAACCTGCTGTTTTCCAGAGGTGGATCTCCTCTATTTAGTAATCCTGTGGCCAGAGCAGTGCCTGCACCAGTAAACCTGCAATCAGAGCTGCTCACAGTCTCGGAGGCTGGCTAAGGAGACAGAGAGGGACTCTGCTTGGAAATGTGTTATTTTTGCTTCCTGATTTAGACCCAACCTGTATTTTTGCTCACTCTGCTTTTGCTGAGCCTTTGCTGAAAAAGATTTTTGCAACTTCTACAGCAAACTGTGGGGAAGGAGCAACCTAGAGCCTGTCAAGGCACATTAGGAGACATTTGGATTTCAGGAATCCATTGTGCATAGGAGGAACCTTATTAAAAACCTTGATTCAAGCAAATATCTGAGTAGAATGAATTGATTTTGCCCTTCAAAGTGGCTGGGTAAGATGAACTAGTCCCCATTCTTTTCTGAGATGTTACATGTTGACCATCTCCTTGCTCTGTGAGACTCACTCTTCACCACCTTCTGTTGGCCAAAGTAGCATCAATTTTCTTAGTGGTTTGTAGAAACCTGGTGCTGCTCTTTAAGCAGAAGAAGAATATACGGGTAACATGCAGAAGGGTAAGGAAATGTGGATAATGAGTCCTGTAATTGTTGTAATACAGAGATATAGCAGTGCTTGCTAGTAAGTTACTAAATATACTAAAAAATACAAAAGGTCCACCTGAAGCAACATGATAGAAACATCTCCGATTCAGGTGGAAGATAATATGTGGAGGAGCTTAATGAGTTCCCTAAGGCAATGGGTTGAACAAGAGGTTGAGAATGAGAGGTTGTTTGCAGCCATGCGGTCTGACCGTTACACTACAGATAAGTTACGTTTTTAATCACTGACTTACGTAAAACCCACCACCGACAACAAAAAACCCCAGATCCATCATCACCCCAAATTCTGTACCAAAACCTACCTGTGCTCATCATAGAGAAATATTAAACAACCAATATTAGGTAACTGTCATAAGGAACCTACTCACATACTTGCACCTTAGTGGGAAACAAGAAGTATTTCCTTTGCAACCAAACCCAAAAAGCAGTTTAACACCTTTATTACTGAGTTAGTTAGAGGAGTATTTACTGTAACCACTGCATTTAGATGGGTGTCCCATGGAGCAGATGACCTACCTGGATTTGAGGGCAGTGGTCCTCCCTTGAAAGCCAGTGTGCAGGGGAGATGCTGAATGAGCCCCAAGGGACCTGGGGACACAGAGTCAAGGCCAGGCCCCAACACACTCAGGGTTCAGCTTTGTTGGTGTACAGGCTAGTATTAACCAAGCTTTTTCCTTCTCTTCCAGGCTATCAAATGGGACAGATGTCTTATGTACTTCAGAAGAAAGCCTGGATACAAGGTTTGGTTCACTGGCGCTGAGCAAGCTGCACTTTGACTCTACTTACACCATTGTGGTTGCTGCCTTCAACGAGCTAGGAAGTGCTTTTTCACAGCCGCTGGTGTTCATGTTAATAGACATAGGTAAAAGCTTTAATTGCCGTGTCTCAGTTAGTCCCAGCCCTTTGGAAAGACACAAAACCATTTCAAGCACCTTGTTTACACGTCTCAGTAAAAGCCTCCATCTCTAAACCAGCAATTCTATTTCTACATACCCCCCGTTCCGAACAGTGCCGTGTACCTGACCGCTGTTTGCTTCTCTCTGTTCTTGCTGCTAGTGAAACCACATCCTCCCAAGTTTTCAGTGGAATTTGAGCATTCTTCTGCCACCAACTGCACCCTTTCTTGGCACAACGAAGCACAAGTGCAGCATTGCAGGCTGAGATACCGTCCACTTACCAGGCATGGCTGGAGCATGGTAATCCTCGCCCGAAAAAGGAGCTTATGATCCTTGGAGGTTGCTTTAATACTGATATTTCTTATCGTTTTGTCCCAATTTGTCTTTCTCTGCTCTTAAATTCTATATTTAAGAAAAGCTTTTGCCTACCAGTCAAAAATGATCGTTGGTCTAAAACTGAATGATGGTAACACTGAGCTGCTGAAAAAACATGTGCATAAATATTTCCCCTTATATCAAGCATCTGTGTGATGCACTGAAGAATCAGAGGTTATGTTTGACCCACCACTTTGGTCGTATTGGGGCAGGACTAAATGACCTTTGAAGGTCCCTTCCAACCCAAACCCCATAGATTCTATGAGGTTATTCTATGATATCTGCTCATTGTAGCTCATGGCTACAGATGTGCAATTTCCAGATGTTTGGGCCTTCCCTAACATCAATTGGAAGTGTCTGCTTTTAAGTGGTGAAACAGATGTATTGCTTGAAGCAGAGTGACAGAAAGTTTGTTATCTTCACATAAATTAGCTGAGGGATTTTTCAGATGAAGAACTGGAAGCGTAATGATTCACTGCATCATTCTTCAAGTTGTTAAATTCGCCTCGAATTCAGGTTTTCCGCATTGCTTTTTAAAGATGTGTTTTGGCTGCTGGGCTTCCTTTGGACATCGGTAATTTAGCCCATCACTGCCTTCAACATTTATTTATTTGAGAGTTTAATGTGAAATATCCTTTATCTTCATTAAAGGTTGAAAGCTTAAATGGTGAAAAATGCAGTCTTCATGGTCTGGAGCCTTATACAACCTACGAGTTCCAGCTCAGCTGTAAAATCCACCCTAAGCGAGGACTGTGGAGTAACTGGAGCACGTACCAGATCCGGACTCCAGAGGCAGGTAACATAAGACAGCACCTCCTGCACTAAGCCAGTGTCTAATGTTCACATACAAGTGGAAACCAGCTAATGAAGTCAAAATGCTGCTGGGTTTTTGCTGATCACTTTGCAGTCTCTGTAGATGCAGACTTGGAGCCAATGGGGAAGTAACTTCTGTAAGAGAATTGCTCTTTTAGTGAACAAAAAGTGAAGCTGTTCCAGTTTCTTGCAAAACAGGAATTTGAGAGTTCACTGAGAATGTCTGAGGATGTATTTATGTGATGTTGCTGAAGGGAGGAAGAATTTTTGGGGAGCTGTAGTGGCCTGCTGCATCATAGAACCCTAGAATGGGGTGGGTTGGAAGGGAGCTTAAAGCTCCTCCAGTTCCAATCCTCTGCCACAGGCAGGGACACCTTCCACTAGAGCAGATTGCTCCAAGCCCCTGTGTCCAGCCTGGCCTTGAACATGGCATCATGACACATCTAGAAAAGGCAGAGTTAACTGGGGGAAGAAAACTATTTCATATTGGTTCATACCTAATGTTTTTAATGAATCCCTGCAGCAAGTCCCTAACTCAAGTCAGGATGGCTGCAGTGTCACCCCAATGACCCACAGCTTGGGCAGCACATCCTGGGATCTTGAGCTTGCTTGGCCATTTGCAGAGGCATTGAATGGATTGGCTGGAAACTGTTTGTGCTTTCCCAGTCCTGCTGGTAAAGGCAGGTTTGAACATAACTGTTAATTCACTTGAAGCCTCCCCAGGTGATCCCTCCATGGCACGGTGGAGTCACTGGACACCTCTATAGCTTTGGCAGAGCAGAATCTGACCAAGCTTTTGGCGTGATCCCAGCAGGCATTAGGTGAGGAAAGACCATTTCTGCCCCAAAGGAGGGCACAGCAGCCTCCAGGCTCACACAGCACCACCCCAAGTGCAAACCTACTGGTTCCTGCCAACTCTAAGCCTTGTGCTGGCCATGGGCTCACGTACCTGCCTGCCTTCACCCCAAGCTGCTCAGACTCATACGCTGCAATACTTTCAGTTCTTAGGAGAGAAGAAAGCTTCTCAGAAGTCTGTACCTCAGCAAAGATGCGTCAGCTCTTTGGCAGCCCTTCCCTTCATCTCTACTTTGCTTTTGTTGCTCTTTCTTTTGTGAATTACTATAAGCTCTTCAGGCTGGTGCTGTTATTACTCATCCTATTTACCACTACTGACAGCATCAGTTTCTGTAAGCACGCATTGATTGATGCAAAAGGTGTAAACTTTTCCTTCTCTCCCCCACCTTCCTCTCAATAGTCTTCTCAATGCACCCTGGCTTGCTGCAGCAGTTGTGGTCATCACCCCTCTACCCAGTGGGTGCTGTAAAAGAGAATCTTTATAGCTCACCATGGAGCGTTTTCTGTCCTCAGACGAGGTGACAGAAGGGGAGGTTGCAGATGAGAACCTCTGGGTCCATCATGGTTGCCCTTCTTTGAAGTTTCTACACGTGAGTTTGGCCTTTTGCAGGTTCAGGAATACAGCTTCCAATGAGGTAACTTCTTAACTCTTTCTCCAAGCATGACCTGCCACAAAAGTTGCTTTATGCAATCACTGTTCATAAGTGAGAACATTCGTCTCCTCAGCTTACACACGTAGTTCTCATGTGAAATGAACTTTCAAATCCAAGCTGGAGCCTGGCAGATGCCATCCCATATTTCACTTTTCCCTGCTCTGAGCTTGCCCCTTCCTCCCGAGTGAGCGTGCTCTGGTTTTATTTCTTCTGTCAGACCTGCTTCTTGTTTCTATTCCAGTCACTTGTGCAGTTAATACAGGACAAATAGCTCATAACATTGCTGGCTCTGAGGGCTTTTTCTGCCTGTGAGTACAGCAAATAGGAGGCAGCCCCGTTCTAGCTGGGTTTGTGCAACAGCGTTTGCTCAGCTTATTAGCAACAATTATTATCTGAATGTGATGAGTTTCTGTTGCTCAGGGTCCTTGAGGAACCAAGCTTTGCTATCTCCTGCCACACTGGGTTTCCTTATGTGTGTGTGTCTGATTCTGAGCTGTTGGAGCACAGTCACCAGTTTCTGCAGCCAGAAGTTTGCTTTTAGTGGTATTTCAAAAGGTTTATGCAAAACATCAAGAGTTTCCAGTCACACTGTGACTATGAGGAGAATCATGGAAAGAACAGGGGTTTTAAGCTACCTCTGACAAGGTCCTACCTTGTTAAAGACAGACATTTATTGCATAGAGCCAGACAGCAAAGTTCTACAGATCCTACAAACCCTATCATTGGTTTAGGATTGATGTAGCCAACCCCAAGGATCTCAGCTAAGCTCAGCTTTGATATGTAGGCTTCCTTGGGAACCATCCCGATTCCTGAGTGCAGGGTAATGCCACCATCAGAGCAAAACCCTCTCTTGTGCTTATGGCTTGTTCTCTCCATGACTACCATCATCAACACAGCTGAACTCCAGCTACAACAGCCAATATGGGCTGTTACATACTGCATCTTTTTGGGGATGTTTTAAATTGTATTAATCTCAGGATTTTTACCTCTATACCTACTCAAAGTCTTGTTTGTTTGCTTCAAAACACAGCTATTAATGCTGCTCACCTTTTCCTTCCACACCAGTGCCAACGGGGCTCCTGGATGTCTGGTACCGACAGCAGGACGTGGGCTCCCAGCAGCTGAACATCTCTCTGTTTTGGAAGGTAAGTTCAGTGAAACCTAAGCAGAAGCAGTAATAACCAGCAAGGCTAAAGGAGGAACTCGGGTTTATGTGCTCACAAGACAGGAGTGAACGCAAGGGAAGCTCAGGGACATCGAATCACAGAATCACAGACTGGTTTGGGTTGGAAGGGACATTAAAGCTCACAAACAATTCAGATCCAAACCCAGCTATGGGATAAAATTCCACACTACTGTACATCACTACCCAGCTCAGGAGAAAAGGCTCACGCCAGGTCTGCTGCACCAGCACTCCCATGAAAACCAAGCCCTATTGTGGGTGCTGAGTTTCTCCAGTATTACCAGCCCAGTCCTGGTAGTACTAATAACACACCCAATACTTAAAGGCAGGTTCAAGGGGAATTTCTGGATTGTGGAGAATTTTCTTTCAAAACGAGGAAGATTATTATTATCTTTAAAGCATAAATTATCGTCAACTTCCAGTCTGCAGAGCCCAGACAGCCTTCCAGCTACTCACATATCTTCTCCCACACCAACAAGCACCACGCCGTGAGTGAATGCAGAAATTGGCACAGTATTACATGACCCAGGCACTGTGGCTTTAAGATACTTAACTTAAAGACCTTTATCTTGTGATAAGGAGCCAGCAACACTTTCTGTATCACAGCAGACTTCCTCCTGCATCCTTCATAGAATGGGTGCAATACATTGCTCTTAGAGCTTTCATTTCAACCTACAAACCAGAAGACTTGGTACAAGGCACTACCAACACATGTCCTCGTATTATCAGACAAATACCAAAGAAAGCATTGCCAATTTAGAATCATGGAGTCAACCAGGTTGGAAAAGACCTTTAAGACCATCAAGTCCAACCTTTACCCCAGCGCTGCCAAGGCCACCACTAACCCATGTCATTAAAAGCCTCAGCAGACATATTTTCCTATTTTTAAAAGTGTTTCTTTTTCCACCCCTCCTCTTCCTTTTCTTGTTTTGTTATGACAAAACCCAGCCAAAACAAAATGAAGTCACTGCAGGAAACTGGAACTGATAGTGCAACTGCAGAGACTGGGGTGGAAAAACCAGCAAGAGCTCTTACACAGGACAGCACGGGCTGACTTTGCAGAGATGGGTATTAAGTGATTGAATTTAAATGATTATTTGTCATGGACAATTCTTTGTCATAGAGCAATAGTTCTTATAATAGTATAATTAATTAGATCTTGGGCAGAAGCTCTTCCCTGGGAGGGTGCTAAGGTGCTGGCACAGGGTGCCCAGAGAAGCTGTGGCTGCCCCATCCCTGGCAGTGTTCAAGGCCAGGTTGGACACAGGGGCTTGGAGCAACCTGCTCTAGGGGAAGGTGTCCCTGCCTGTGGCAGGGGGTTGGGACTGGAGGAGCTTTAAGCTCCCTTCAGCACAAACCAGGCTGGGATTCTATGATATGCACTTTCCTCGCAGGCTTTGAGCAAATCGGAGGCAAGAGGAAGAATCCTGCAGTACACAGTGACCTTTGAAGCCCTGGACCAGGGGAGCCCCATGGCAGAAGTACATCTTACCAACCAAACCAGCTACGCCAGGGTCGTGCCAAGGGTAAACTACAAGATAACAGTCACTGCTGAGAACTCAAGGGGGAGGTCCCCTCCCGCATCCGTTGTGACAGACCTGGGCACCGCGGGTAAGAACTGCTGCTGCATCTGGAAAGTGAGAAAACGCCAGCGCTCTGCTTTGTGCTACACACCACGGAAGCGCTCAGGTCCCAGCCCCTTGTGCTCGTCAAGGTCCACCTCAGCGACTCTTCAGGGATCTGTAGATCTAGTTTTCAGTGTGGTCAAAATCTGAGTGCAACAAAAGGCACGAGTGTTCCCTGAACGCCCCCAGCCCCGAACTCCCTGTGCCAGTTCCGGGCACAACAGAGGGTCATGGTCCGAGGTGGTTTGTTCAAAGAGGCAACTTTTGGCCTTGTCCTGGTGCAACAGTAACAAAGCCATTGCTGAATCTTTCACCTTTCCCCAGTGCTGCATGGAATACCATGGGCTGCTCTCCTTGGGGAGCAGACACAAGGCTCCTCAGCTCACAGGCTGCATGGGTTGCATGAGCCCTTCATCAAGTGGAGACAGGACTGGTGCAGAAATAGCACTGGTCTCTGACTATTTGGAGGCAGAAGGAAAAGAACTGCTTTGTGGGCTCAGATCACTTGTATTTGTTAGGAAAAGAAGTTAGAAAAGATGCTTGGACGAGGCTTGGAGCAACCTTCTCTAGTGGAAGGTGTCTCTGCCTATGGCAGGGGTTGGAATTTGATGAGCGCTAAGGTCCCTTCAACCCAAACCAGACTGGGATTCTATGATTCTGTGAAAGTGTCTATTCTATGAAAGATGTCCCAGCACCCTGTCCAGCCAAATCTTAGAAGTAGCTTTGGTCTTGTGGAGATCATGTGTGTTTGTGGCACTGTCACAGAAACAGAGTGTTAGTATGTGCTGTGACAGCATCTTCTCAGGGTCTGGGGATAGTAGAAACAAGGAGTGCTGTGTAAGTTCCACCTGCTGCACATGCGAGAAGATAAGAAGATGGGTCTACTCCTATCAGCATAGAGATCACTCTTGTATAAAGACCTTTTCTTTCAATTGCAGTTGATTTTTATACTTCACATGGTGCCAAACTGGATGAGACATAGTAAAAAAGTATATCAAACTTACCAAGTTCTCTTTAGGTTAAGTCTGTGCTGATGGTGTCTTCTTTGTTTGGTTGCTCTTTCTCCCTGTAAGATCTACCTCCTCCTCAGGAAGTCTCTGCCATAGCCATGGGAAACAGCAGCATCCTCATCAGCTGGAAGCCACCCATCAGCTCCACTGCATCCATCACTGGATATATAGTGGAGTGGTCAGACACACAGAGGAACACGCGCCTGAAGCCCCATCCAGCATGGGTAAAGCTGCCAACATCCAACCTGTCTACAGTGATAGCAGGTAACGGCCACCTGAGGTATCGGGTTATTTAGACAGATTATTAAGGAACAAGTCAGATTCTAATTGTTACTAATTCAGCATAAGAACTGATGACATATAAAGCTTTCAGCAGAGGAGGAAAAGAGAATCGTGGCTGCTCTGGGATCAGCTCTGCAGTCACTCTCAGCTGAGATTTATAGCTGATAAGTAAAATGTCTCTGAAAAACCTCAATCCTTCCCAAATGAAACAAGCCAGCTACAGGTACTAGAGATCAAAGCTTAAGACTATTTCCTTTCTACTAATTGTTGGTTACTAATCCCAACCAGTACTACGTGTCTGTGTACTGCACACTGGATAGCTATGAAGTCATGATGAAGGTGGCAGCAAGTATTATCCTAAGTAGTCTTTCCTATTATAGAATCCCAGACTGGTTTGTACTGGGAAGGACCTTAAAGCTCCTCCAGCTCCAACCCCTGCCCCGGGCAGGGACACCTTCCACTAGAGCAGGTTGCTCCAAGCCCCTGTGTCCAACCTGGCCTTGAACACTGCCAGGGATGGGGCAGCCACAGCTTCTCTGGGCACCCTGTGCCAGCGCCCCAGCACCCTCACAGGGAATATCCTCTATCCCAGTGCTGTGTCTCCAAGGTGTTTACATCCCCACTCTCAAGTGGGCTGGAAGAAGCAGGATGTTCATGCCATCCCACTGTGCTCTGCTTTCAAAAATGAGGTCCTGCCAACCTCTCTTTCCCACAGGAACAGCCCAGATGGGAATGCTCATGTGAAGTCACGGGGAAGAAATAGGGTGGGAGATTCTCATCCTTTCTGAGGGACCTCAGCATAGCCAACCCTGCACCTCATGTCTTAGAGCATTGAGCTGCGAGTAGTTATTCACCTCCTCCCTTTACCTGGAGCACAAAATGTGGTCCAAGGTTTCCTTTGGAGGACACGGGAAGCAGGTGCTTCATGAGATAAAAAGGACTTCACCCTTCAGGAGTGCTACCATCACTTGCCTAATGCACAGTCAGCTTCTGCCAAGCTCAATAGGAGATCACAGAGAAGTTTATTTCCCCCTCCCCCCTCTTTATTAAAGAATCATTAATAATCAGAAGATTCATCTCAGATTTGAGCAGCTGATGTAAATACCTCAGCCATAACTGTAAATACTTTAACTAGTAACCATCCACTTCTAATTTTTTTCATTTAGAGCACATAAAAGACGAGGTGTGCTACCAGATCAGTGTATTTGCACTCTACCAGGGCAGAGCTGGACGGGCAGCATCAGTTAAGGGATACTCAAGTGCAAAAGGTAAATCACAGCAATACCCTTCCAGATGTTAAGCTACCTTAAGTTTTGCTTTAAAGTCAGTCTTATGTTCTGCAGCTCCATCAGCTGGGCCCCAGATGTACACAACACTGCAGGCAAACGGCATCTTGGTTTCATGGGAAGTAATCCCTGCCCACCACCAAAGGGGCTGCATCACTGGGTACCACATTTACCTGCAGAAAAGTGACAGCCAGGTTGACCCACGTGTCTACGGTAGGTACCTGTTGAAGGCCAACATGATGCGCACAAGCTGTGAGTGCAGACAGAGGGGAGGGAGATGCCATCAGAAAGAGTCTGTGTAGTCAAGGAGTCACAGGCTGCTCATCTGCCATGGGGGTTAGAGCAGCAAGATTCAGTTGTCTCCCTCTGCTACAGCTGCCCATCAACAGAGCTGCATATCCAGGACTTCCAGCTTTGAGCTAGGCCACCCTAAGCTATTCTGAGAGTGGAACTAATAGATTTCTCCCTGTGTTATCATCATCACCACAGCCTGGTTTGGGTTGGAAGAGACCTTAAAGCTCCTCCAGCTCCAACCCCTGCCACGGGCAGGGACACCTTCCACTAGAGCAGGTTGCTCCAAGCCCCTGTGTCCAACCTGGCCTTGAACACTGCCAGGGATGGGGCAGCCACAGCTTCTCTGGGCACCCTGTGCCAGCGCCTCAGCACCCTCACAGGGAAGAGCTTCTGCCCAAGAGCTCATCTCAGTCTCCCCTCTGGCAGGTTCAAGCCATTCCCCTTGTCCTGTCCCTGCAGGCCCCTGTCCAAAGCCCCTCCCCAGGTTTCTTGTCAGCCCCTTTAGGCATTGGCTGTTATTAATGGATTTCTCATAGTTCTACCATATAAACCTCATTTTAGACTGAAATATTAGCTTATCAAGGAACAGTAGTCAGGGGTCAGGGTACACAAAATCCTGGGTGTTCACTCTACACAATGGCACAGGTCACCCCTGCAGTCCAAGACCTTGTACAGCCCTTCCAACGATTCAGTAACATAGAAAAGGAAATTAAAGCAACAGGTACCTCTCCGTGCTCCGGCAGCTCAGTTCGCTGGAGTTAACCACAGTAAAGACCCATGTGAGGTGTTTCATGTGCTTCTCCTCCTCTTCTTCGCAGCCATTTCCAGCATGAGTGCCCAGTGCTCACTGTACATCACAGACCTGCAGCCTGGGGAGCACTATTCCTTGTGGATGACAGCATCAACGGCTGCAGGAGAGGGGCCCTGGGGCAACAGCGAGCTCATCCGCTTGGAAAGTAATGAACCTCCGCAGGGATGTGGGGCCAGGAGACGTCCCAGCCCTGAGCTCCCAGTTTTCCGCACTCTGGAAATGCTTTTCCCGCTCCTCTTTAGTTAGTGAAGATCTCTTGTTGTTCTTTAATTGCTGAAGTTCTATTTTCAGCTGGTTCTAAGATGCAGCATCTCTGTCTTCAAGCTCCCAGTTCTGTGACAAGATGTTGGCTCTATGGTTTAACAGTAGTTGAAGGCCAGCAGGAAGGTTTATTGTGGAGAGGGAAGGATGGGTTTGGTCCTTTGTTACTGGCCCTGTGTGTTCCAAGCTCCGGCCCAGGTATCCATGCAGAAAGTCCTGTTGACCTCCATGTGTTAGTGGCATTCCATGGTCATTACAGGAGCTGTCATCTCAGAGCCTTCCTGAGGAGCACAGCATCCCCTGCTCCTGGAGCACACATGAGTTTCAAGTGGTCCTTGTTCCTGAGCCCCCCAGGGGGATGCAGACACAAGACCTTATCCAAAAGCCTTCTGACCACAAGTAGTGCCAGTAACCAGGGTTTCCATCCTGCAAAACAGATTGTCTGGATTAAATTCACTTTGGGACAGTTCAAGACAAATGGTCACTGAACCCTGAGAAGGGAGTTGGTAAAGTCTGTGCTTAAGTGCTGTTAGAGAGTTTGTTTTGCTGCATTTTCTCCCCAGCAACGTGCCAACACAACAACTTTAAGCCCCTGAGTCATATACATTAAGGAATTCATCTCCACAGCACGGGAGCAGGGCTCCTCAGGAGGCAAGAGAAACCCAGGGAGGTGAGAGGAAATTAAAGCAATCCAGACTGGGTCCTTAAAGCTCCTCCAGCTCCAACCCCCTGCCACGGGCAGGGACACCTTCCACTAGAGCAGGTTGCTCCAAGCCCCTGTGTCCAACCTGCCCTTGAACACTGCCAGGGATGGGGCAGCCACAGCTTCTCTGGGCTGTGATTCTGTGACTCTATGAACTGCCTGGTTTGGGTTGTGGACTGTGTGCCTCAAAAGACATCGGTAGACATCACTATGTTAAAGTACTCTGTTGACCCCAGCAGTTGATCCAGATTCCTGGATTTCAAAAGCCCAAAATGTTGGCGTTTTGTGAGTTCAAACACTATCCAGGCCCCAGTTATTCTCCAACTTGAAGCAGCATATTTAGATCTCTCTGTTTCTCATGGAGATGTTCTGTATTGCAGGTGCTGGGGACTGGATGACTGTTGTGCTTACCTGCAGCATCTTCATCTTCTCAGCCTGCATCTGTTCCGTGCCTCTGGCAAGAAAAGCGTAAGTGGATCCATCTTTTCCAATAAAACATGGAAGTGTTATAAGAAGGGATGGTCGTGGACTCCCAGGGCACCTTGGGGAGCAGTGAGGGTTGTTCTGAATAAAGGCTTCAGAGTACATACATGATAACACCCACTGAGGTTAAAATACAGCCTTATTTGATACAGATAGTGGATTTTAACCTAGAGCCTGTCTGCTTCCACCAAAACAAAACTAAAGGGGTACAGTCCTTGGCAATTAACATGGGAGCAAAGTTAAAGACTAAGAACTGGTTTCCTTTAGAGGAAAAAGCACATGTCTCCAGGACCAGGGCTCACGGCTCTATCCAGCAAGCTCTTCCCATAGGGCTGCTGTTGGTTATCACAGGCAAACTTCTGGCAGAGGATGGCAATGGACAGCATCTACCTCTGCTCAAGAGCTGCACTGTCCCATCAGCCAACACCAACGTGCTCCCTGCAGGTCCCTGCCAAGATAGATTTGCAGTTACACTGAGCTCTTTGGTGATCACACGCACAAAGAGCACATCCCAGCTCAGCACTGTGGGCAGCAACGTTCCTGCTTTTAATTGCACTTAATTCCATCTGCAGATTACACTCGCTCCTCACCACACTCATACCGCAGTGGCAGAGCAAAGCCATTCCAGACCCAGCTAATGCCACATGGGCCAAGAACTACATGTGTATGGAGGTAAATTGAACTCTCTTTTTCTTCTAAACCCACCCCCTTCAGAAGGAGAAGTGATTGGAGCCATGCAAGTCAGTCACTCCTCATGCAGCAAAGCTCTGTTCTCATACTGTGTTAGACTGTAGAATGTATCACAGAATCCCAGCCTGGTTTGGGCTGAAGGGACCTTAAAGCTCCTCCAGCTCCAACCCCTGCCATGGGCAGGGACACCTTCCACCAGAGCAGGTTGCTCCAAGCCCCTGTGTCCAACCTGGCCTTGAACACTGCCAGGGATGGGGCAGCCACAGCTTCTCTGGGCACCCTGTGCCAGCGCCTCAGCACCCTCCCAGGGAAGAGCTTCTGCCTCAGAGCTCATCTCAGTCTCCCCTCTGGCAGGTTCAAGCCATTCCCCCTTGTCTGGCAAATTAACTGCAAGAACAATGCAGAGACCTTTCAGCCACTGGAATAATCTCCCCAGGGAAGTGGTGACTCCCCTGCATTGGACACTGTTAAGATTCAACTGCACAGGGTGCAGGGACATCTGGTCCAGATTGTGCTTTGTCTGGAAAGGTTGAACCAGATGATCCTTGAGGTCCCTTCCAACCTGGAATTCTATGACTTTTAGCAGAATAGCTGCTGTGTGGAGGGATACTTGCAGCAGGGGGATGGAAGGCGACAGGACATCAGTCCCACGATGGTTTACCACTGCCATGTGTTCCCCTCCGCAGGCTGAGCTGCGCTGGCCCTCCAGCCTGTTCCTGCCCAGCACCAGCAGCTTCGAAGAGCCTGACCCAACACAAGTAGAAGAAGCCTTTGTGAAACCCACCACCCTGGCCCTGCAGGACAAGGTCCTCTTCAGCAGCAGTGGCACCAAGGGACATGGGGACTGGGTGCTGGAGAGCAGCCTGGGGCAGGAGGAGCCCAAGTACGAGCCTCTCACAGGCACAGCAGACGGGGAGCTGTGTGCGCAGCAGCTCCCCGACCTCTACAGGAGGATCGTGGCAGAGGCCATGGAGCACACACACAGTGTCCCCGAGTACATTGCCAACCCCACCAGCAGCACAGCCCCCACGTACCTGCCCCTGGGAACAGGCACTGCTGAAGATCACCCCGAACTCGAGTGCGACCCTCTCTCCATGTTCCCAACAACCTGTTTAACACCCGTATTTCCCTATGAAGGGAATCTTACCTTGGATACGGTGAAGATAAACTGCAGCTCGTTCACCAGGTAGGAGGTCAGGGTGACATGAGCCCAGCTGAATAGTTCTTGCACTTTACTGAAGGTACAGACAGTCCAGAAACTTGCACGTGACACATTTAAGTGGCTAAAAACCCAACTCAGAAACCCCTCCAGCACTACAGATCACACCTCACTGCACAATAGAGCAGCTCTCACCCACACAGCACGTTCAGGTAGATCAAAGGCAGGCCACAGGGAATGCCAGGGCTGCATGACCGGGCTTTTGGAGAGGTTAATTAGTTGCTCAGGTTGACTTCATGCAGCCTGGGCTGCCTCAGGCATCACTGACTGATCAGCAGTGATCTGAGCCAGGCTGAGCCACGCTGCAGGTTAGCAACATGTGCATTAGTGCCCACCAGCCCACAGGTGGTGTTCATGGGATCCTGGACTGGTTTGGGCTGAAGGGAGCTTAAAGCTCCTCCAGCTCCAACCCCTGCCCCGGGCAGGGACACCTTCCATTAGAGCAGGTTGCTCCAAGCCCCTGTGTCCAACCTGCCCTTGAACACTGCCAGGGATGGGGCAGCCACAGCTCCCCGGGGCACCCCGGCACCCTCACAGGGAAGAGCTTCTGCCCAAGAGCTCATCTCAATCTCCCCTCTGGCAGGTTCAAGCCATTCCCCTTGTCCTGTCCCTACATCCCTTGTCCAAAGCCCCTCTCCAGGTTTCCTGGAGCCCCTTTAGGCCCTGGAGCTGCTCTAAGGTCTCCCCAGAGCGCAGCAGAGGGGCAGGATCCCCTCCCTGAGCTGCTGCTCACGCTCTGGGGGTGCACCCAGCACATGGGGGGGTCTGGGCTCAAGCACACACTGAAGCTGGGTCATGGGGAGCTTCTTGTCACCCAACACCTCGAGTCCTTCTCCTCAGGGCTGCTCCATCCAGTCTCCCTGGTATTGCCCTGACCCAGGGGCAGGACCTTGCCCTTGGCATGGTTGAACTTCCTGCATTATCCCTCACCTCAGCCCCGGTGCTGCAGCCCCTGTGGGTCCCAGGAGGCATGTCCACAGCTCTGCCCAGGCCAGCCTGGCCTTGGGGCTCAGGTCAGGGGAGGAGTAATCCTCACCAGAAATAAAAGCAACCAAAGGGACTGTTGAGAAGAATTCAAACCATTTATTGGAGTATTCTAATTACAGGTCTGAAGCGTGTGTTACACATTTAATGACTTTGTTTACTAGATGTGTGTGTGTATATATATAAATAAAATGTTGGACTCCTGAAATTGGTTTCCTGTTGTTTGCCCTGGCCGAGCCCAAGTGCTGTGCTGCAGCTACACACAGAGTAAGATAAAGCTGAAGCATTGCTGCTAGATGAGACAGTCCAGATCTGCACTTACCTGGAGCATCCTCCTCCTGCTCAGGATCAGGCAGCTGTTCTCCATCCATAGCTGGCTCCATAACCTGTTGAGTAATGGCATGAAACCCTCCTGTGACACCACCACCTTGGGGCACCTCCACAAACAACTATTACCTGGCTTGGTGAGCAAAGAGCCTTCAGAAGCCCCGCGAAGGTCTCCTCACAGAGCAGGGACAGAGATGCCCCTGCATCACAGGTCTCCTACCTTGAGGCCATGGCTTTCCCCACTTCACTTGAATCACAGAATCCCAGCCTGGTTTGGGTTGAAGGGACCTTAAAGCTCCTCCAGCTCCAACCCCTGCCCCGGGCAGGGACACCTTCCACTAGAGCAGGTTGCTCCAAGCCCCTGTGTCCAACCTGGCCTTGAACACTGCCAGGGATGGGGCAGCCACAGGTTGAAGTGAAAAGTAAAACCAAAAGGGAGATCTCTGTTGGCTCGTTTCCCATTTTAATTCCAGCTGTGATTATGTCACCTTCCACAGGAGACTCCGTGCTCCAAGTTCAAGGGCACTGCTGGACAAGCCTGTGACTGCCCATATCCAGGCACACGCTGCCTCCCGAGCTGGGGCCAGGCACACTGGGGGCACCCCATGACCTGGTTTGCCAAAGTCTGCACCTCTGTCCAGTCTGTGGCACCACCTCTGCAGGGGTGGGAGCCTATGAAAACCCTCGTGCACACGTTTTAAGGTTTTACAGGAAGGCGCAACTCAAACCCTTTCAGGGAAGGATTTGTTCCTCAGCTCCAGCTAAACCTGCCCTGGGGCAGCTTGAGGCCGGTTCCTCTTGTCCCATCCCTTGTTCCTTGGGAGCAGAGACCAGCCCCCTCCTGGCTCCATCCTCCTGTCAGGCAGGTGTAGGGAGCGATCAGGTCCCCCCTGAGCCTTCTCTTCTCCACACTAAACCCCCCAGGTCCCTCAGCCCTTCCCCATCACACTTGTGCTCCAGGCCCTGCTCCAGCTCCACTGCCCTGTAAGGACTAAGGAACCGAGGAACAGAGAGACTGAAGGCAGCTGCCCGGGAACCTGCATTTCCAAAGCAGAGGAAAGGTGCTGTGGGAAGCACTGTGAGAGGAGCAGGAGCAGCAGCACTCCAGGTACCAGCTCTGGCCATCTCGGTGCACTCTTGACGGCTCCTCTGCAGCACAGAGACCATCCCAGATGCATGTTCCTGTATGTCCCACCTGTGCTGGGCAACACAACAGCCATTCCCCACCAATCCAGCATGGTTCCTGTACTCACCTGTCAGCTCACCTGCAGCAGATGCTGCCCATGACTCTCCCAGATGTGCCAAAGGATCCTGTTCTTCACATTATGGTTCCAGCAAAGCTCCTTCCTGCCAGGTAACCCAGGAGCAGTCACTGGATAAGGAGAACACTTACCCCTGCTGCAGGAGCTCACCACAACTGCCAGCAGAAACCATGCACTGAAGATAAAACAACTCCCAGATGTGCCAGTAAATGCACGTGACAGCATCTTGAGGGGCATGTACTTGTAAGACACAGCACCACAGTACCAATGCCAGCGACGTATGCACCCCCCTTCCACCTACATTCCAAAAATGAACGTCAAAGCCATGATCTGCAGGTTCCCAATAAAACCACCAGTGAGGAGGCTCTGCAGCAGCTCTGCAACACAGCCCTACCCGCTCAAACAGAAACTCAACTCCGAGCTGAGTTTTGGGGACTTAGTTGCATCCTCACTGTGACCTCCAAACTGGCTCAGGACCTCTATCTCAAGGTCACAGCTCAGACAGGAGAGGGGGAGGATGCACTTCCACATGGGAACAGCTTTTAGCAGCAGTCCACAAGTGATCTGCAGAGCAGCCTTTTGCCAAGGGCCTGTAGGGACAGGCCAAGAGCAATGGCTTGAACCTGCCAGAGGGGAGATTGAGATGAGCTCTTGGGCAGAAGCTCTTCCCTGTGAGGGTGCTGAGGCGCTGGCACAGGGTGCCCAGAGAAGCTGTGGCTGCCCCATCCCTGGCAGTGTTCAAGGCCAGGTTGGACACAGGGGCTTGGAGCAACCTGCTCTAGTGGAAGGTGTCCCTGCCCGTGACAGGGGTCGGAGCTGGAGGAGCTTTAAGGTCCCTTCAATACAAACCAGTCTGTGGTTCTGTGATTTTGTGATCTTCATCAATCTGATTAAAATGTTAAACAGGACTCACCCGTGGAAAAGCACATTCAGCAGCAATGACCACCTTGTCCCCACACGCTTCCCTCCTGCTCCCTATCCTTTCCCTGCAAGTGCTGCACAACCTCATGGAGCCAAACAGACCTTCAGGCCCTTCCTTAGGAGCAAGCACAGAAGGGAATCTTTTCCCTGTCCTCCGTACAAAGTAACAGAAATCCTGCAGTCTGTTGAGTACAAGCCCCTCCACAACCAGGCATGCGCTAACTCCAGCTGCTGAGCTGAAAGCAGTAAAACCAATCCCATATCCTATTTACCTTCACCCAGTGAAGAACGTGCAAATAAAATAAAGCTCCCTCACCTCTTGGTGTCACAACGACCTTTGTATCAGCATCTCGGGTGAAGATCAAACAGCTCAAGAGCGCTTATCGGCAACTACAGCCAAGCTGCACCCTGGGGCAGTGAACTGAAACCTCGGTCACACTGACCCCCCCAGAGGGCATCAGCAACAGCCCAGCTCAACCCTGTCCTGCAGCACACCCCAGTAAAAGGGTTTGCTGCTCCTGGCCAACAGGAAGACACAACAGCCACACGACCACCAGAACTGAGGCACCACACGCAGGTCACAGCCCCACAGCACACCAGGCTGTACTCACTGCTGAAATATGGGAAGAGAAAAACCCTTAAGCTCCTACTTGCTTTCTCTCTTCCAACTCGATCCAAGGTGCATTATCCCCTGCAAACTTCAATCCCAAAGGAGAAGCTAACAGCCACTGGGCTCCAGCCACAGCCCCACACAGCAGATAGATACAGCCCTGATACACAGACATCTCCCACCTGGGCAGACTGGCTCAGTGGCACCCAAAGGCAAAGGTTTCACTCACACTTGGGTCAGCAATCCAAGACAACAGAACTCCATTTGCATGCTCTCCGAACCCAATCTGGCAAGAGGTTTCCAGCTGGGCATCCCAGACAATTCAGGACCCCAAGTCAGCTGCACACAACCAAATTAGATACCTATTGCCAAAGAAAAGTTTTAAAAAAACAGGAGGCCAAAAAAGCACTACTGTGTCATTCACCCATCTTTGCACATTGATCTTTAACACACGGACAACAGAACCCTAGAGCACGTTCTCCCCTTGCTCTTCATGTTGCTAGATAAAAATCACCACAGGGCTTCACATGAAGTCCTGTTCCAAGAGACAAACAGCATCATTAGTAGGACAACAACCAAACCTGAAGCCTCCCAGTAAGGACAAATTCACTGTTTTCCCCTCAGTCAGGTTACACCCCCCAGCATGAACATTACGTTTGGGTTCTCAAGTGCAGCACCCAGCACAGCGGGTAACTTGCTGACATGGCACTGGGACACTGCACTTGCTCCAACACACCCTGAGCCTGGCCAGGAGGCTGTCACCCAGCTAAGGGAGACCCGACCAGAGTACAACCCAAAGGGAACGTGGTCCTTGTGATGACTTTAGAAAAGAAGCAGGTTAGCAAATGCTGGAAGTGTCAGCTTTAGGCATATGTCCTGCGTTTATTAAAACAAGAGCGTGGCTACGCAAAAACCAATCTCCACGGGCAAAAGTCATTACAGTCAAGAGTGGTCTCAACTCCTCCAACTGCAAACACTGTATATTCACACTGACTTCTGGTGTTTCAGAAGTACTTATGTCCTTTCCCACCCAGCTAACACTCACATTTATTCATCAGTCTCGTTTCCTCCCAGCATCAGTGGTATTCGATGTGCAAGATGAACTTTCATGCTCCAAACTTGCCATTCGAAAAGCCAATTGGCACCATGTGCTTTTTCTCTCTGTTTCTCTCCAGCTTTTTCTGCTGGCCATCTTTTTCAGATTGTTCTGATTGCAAAAAGGTCTAGTCCTCTGGCTTTGGCATGACAGCAGCAATAGCAAGCAAGAGGACAGAAAATATTACTAAAGAGCAAGCTCATTCATCATAAATAAGCTACTCAGGACACAATTCCCCAAGGAAAAGTCCATCCCTGGCAATGGCAACCCCTGGGCACCGTCACCATGGGCACACTAGCCCTCCTGGGGCAGAGAACCTAGATGAGCCACTCTTCACCTAAGTGGTTTCATTTCATCTCCGTGTGTTCTCATGACATTTTTAAAAGAGCATGAAAATAAACCTTTATTTCAGTTCACACCCACCAATATTAAAGATAAATGTTCACAGTTTTAGTTCTTGACACAAATGGACTGAAAGAGGCAAATTTACATCTATCAGAACAGCAGACGGACCCATTTTTAAGTACAAGCTGTCTTGAAAATCAGATGTGCCATTTGGGAAACTGCTCTATGCTCCACAGCAGGAGAAGGGGAAGCTCCCGAGCAAGCCCAGCTAGGAGGGCCCAAACCACACACTGGCTGGCCCAGAACTCATCTCGAATATAAGCTGAACGGTAACTGAAACAGCAAAACACAGTTTGGGTTAATGGGAGGAAGGTTTATGTTACAGAGAAAGCTTTTCCTTAAGTGTGTTTCTGCACATCAAGATATTTGTTATCCAAGGTGTCCCTAATGCTAGAACTGCAATGAATTCTACCTTACCACAAAGGGAGAGGGAAGAGGAACAACTCAGTGCTGGACCTGCAGCAGCCCCCACGCTGAACACCCGGGTGAGATCAGCGGAGAAGTGAACCAAGAGATTTTGATACCATCCACTGTTTGAAAACTTGCCTCCTTCTCACAACCTGGTACTTCAAACTATAGGTGAGTGCACTAAAACCTCTAATGCAATGGTATTAACAGTGGTTTACAACAAAAACTTCTGTAGAAAACAGTTCAGAGAAAGCAAGCCAGCTGAACACCACAATTAAGGAGTCTGGTATTTCATATTCAAAGGTCTCCAATACTTTTTGCCTGTCCTGTACAGCTTTTAAAAAAATAGGGCATTACCTTTTGTTTTCTATCTACCTAGTTAAGAAACTACAAATATGTTATAAGCTGTCCAAAGTGTAAAACATTAAATAAAATGAGAAACCTGTTTCTACTCTCCTAACAAATGCTGCAGATAAAAACCCTTAAGAAACCCTCTTGATCATTCTCTCAACTCCTTTTTGCATCCTGAAGTGGCAATGTTCCTGTCACAGGGGTTAAATTAAACCTACAGTGGATTTCTACAGGGGTAAAAAGTTTCTTACAATCTGAAAAAACATTCATTTGTCAGCTAGTCATCGGTGCCCAACACTGCACAAAGCCAGACACAACTCTGAGGGAGAGGTTAAGCCCTGGGGGTTTGGTTTCTAAGTATTTAGTTGTATCGCGCACAGTTGCGACATTCCCACCTGGAATGGGAAAGCAAAACTCCCTCCTGCCAGAGCGAGCCACTGCTGGTGGTTTCTTCTGAAGACAACCTGCCACTGTTGGAGCAGCGCTGTGAATACATCAGGTGCTGATGTACTTGTGTCAACACCGCTGCTCAATTCCAGTTCCCAACCGGAGTCTGGGTGGACTCACCGGAGCAATAGCTTCTGCCTTCCCCCCCTCCCAGCTCCAGCAACAGCGTATCTCCATCTCCAGAGTATCCCCTCAAAAGAAAAAGCATCAGTAATTTAAAAACTCTTTTTTTTTTTTGCCAACAAAGCATCTTGTTCTGTTGAAGGGAGGAGGAGGAGGGAAGAAAGGTAAAAAAGGGTGAGTGGAAGGTGTAATACATTAGTTGTTAAAAACTGTTTGAAAACCAATTATCCACACGTCATTGCTGGATCAATACAGAGGCATTTCACTATAAACCAGATGTGCTTTGAATCTTTCTTCAAGTATCTGCTATCAGTTTTGTATAAAGATTTTCTGCATTAACAAACTACCAAACATAGGTGAAAAATGACTGTTTTTTCCAAGTCTGAAAGCAAGGATTAAACCTGAAGTACTCCAGGAGCTGGAATTCCATACAGCACTAACAGTCGGCCAAATTAAAATCCCACATATTCCAAAAGACCATGGGCTGATAAAAATCTGCTCGACAGGAGTTAAGGAAACGGAAATAGTGTGCAAGAATTAAAACCCAGTCTGTAGTTTGGGAGGGGGGAAAAAATGTCTAAAATCCTGAATAAACCAAATAAAAACCACAAATGAAGTGAAAGCTTTTAACTGGTACACACTGTTCACACCTATATTTCAAGTTTGGAAACGCATATTTTCAAGCAGCAATACAAAAAAGTATCCATGAAGAATGCATAATCTCTGAAAAAATTATGAAAACATCCCTGCTACCATTACATTTCTAAATACAAAACTGACTACCATATTGTTGCTTCTGTGTAGCGAGAGAAGTTCATTTTCAAAACAGATAAAATTCAGTCTTTAGGTGTGAATGGTATGAATGACAGTCTCTTTTTTTTTTTCCTTTTGTTTTTTTAAATTTCTTAGTTGTTTAGGATCCTTAAGCATGCAAGCCTCGGAGAGGAAGGCCCAACGAGGGCAGGGGTGGCTTATGACATCCAGTTTAGGACAGAGCTGGGAAAGCCTCTGGGTCATCTACATCAGGAGCAGAAGCACTTGACTGAAAGAGAAACATCACAAAGTTATTACCTGCAGCAGCATCAAGCTCTACCATGATTCTGATTCTTCACACAGCACCAAGCCCTTGCACTCACCATGCTGAATGAACCCTATTCAGCAGGGAATACCAGGATTCAAAGAGGTACATTGTGGTGTACAAGCAGTCTAGCACTGGACAAATCACTCCAAGAGCAATCTTTCCCCTTCCATGATAAGCAACTTTTTTGTTCCAACGACTATGAAGTCTCCTATACTACTTTCTGAATCAAAGCTATCTGAAGAGGCTTTACAGGCAAACAAACCATGTTTGCACACAACTATCATACAAGCTTGTAAGTCTTTTTCCATTCTTACAGATCCCTGCATATGAGCTTACACTATTCTACTAGCACATAACCATCAATTCTTACCAAGGGACACAACTGAAGTGTTACAGAAAAGGCCTGTTTGTAGCACAGGTTCATTTTTCCCCAGTCACAAAGTAGGTGCTGACAGAAAGACCAGAAATCCATACATTAACCAAGAACCTCCTTAGTACTTCCCAGGGTTTACTAAAAGGCTCTACACCACACCTGAAACCAGTGCTGCAATGAAATGCAGAAATGAAATGGTTTAGAACACTCTTCACTTCGTCCAGAAGGGATGTGGAAGAGAAGAGCAGGAAGAGCCAAGACAGTGGAATTTCCTGTAAACATACTCATTTCTCAAGAGATATTTTTAAACCATTCCAAAAAAGTTGTACCAACACCTAGAGGCAAGACTGACACACTGCAGAAGCACCCAGCCAACAAATTGGAGTTAAGAAGGAATAGCAGGGCCTTAAGCCTAGGAAGATACGAAGCCTTAGTATCTCCAGATGCTCATTGCATAAAACCAGAAAGCAAGTCAAAAAAGCCAGTCCACCAGAGGAGCAGTTACAGTCCCTGCAAGACAGGGACCACCTTGTTCACAGGTAGCACAAGTACCAAAGATCACCAACCTGGTTGGGTGTGTGGATCACGTCAAACTCCTTAACCAACTGGAAGGAAATAAGCAAAGTTAAAAGTAAGTTGCAGGAAACTGTTTAACCACTTTATGACAGCATTCTTGAAGCAAGATGCTTCACGTATTAGTGAAACAACTCAGAGCAAACAGCACCATTTAATTTCAACTTCTTAAAACTCTCTCAGGAGAGTTTTTTCAACTAATAACCCTAAAACTTGAAGTAATCCAGTGTGAAAGAGAAAGTCAGTGTCCCAGAAGAGATAAAATTGATTAAGTCTGGTCTATGTGATGAAGGCTACAGCACACAGATGGAATTAATTCTGTAGGAACAATTTGATCAGATGCATTTAAGCCAAATAAATGATCCATAATAGATCCAATCTTTACTGTAGCTCTACTATAGCAGGTCAATTTCACATGAGCCCTCCCCAACCCCATTCAGTACTTTTCCTGAGTATTTCTTCAAGACTCTAGGACTAGAGGGGGAAAAAACTTACTGCAGATCAGAAAAAAAGTAGTAAGATTCTCATAGTCTTATTTCCACATAAAACCCCCTTAAATCACTCAAATTCAAGCTATAACATGCAGGTGTAAAAGCAGTCTTTCACCCCCAGTAGGTCGTACTGCAGATACTCCATCCTGATGGTGTCTGAAAACAGCTCTCTAGCACTTGCAGTTCTGCTCTGGCACTAACAAAAGCATCTCACAGTACATTCATGTCCATACTGGAGAGTTATTTTGGGGGTTTGGATACAAAGATGGGCACTTTTTTTAATCCAACCTACTCCTCACCCTCCCTTTTTTAATATGATACATTCATCCTTTTGTCCTAACAACAACCTGGTTTAAAATAAACTTGTAAGAACAGACACTTGGTTTTAAAAGGTGGTGTTTTTGCCAGAATAGCTCCCCCAGAAATATGGAAGACCCCCAAAATCATCTATATGAAAGTCCTAACAACTGAAACTAAACTCCTCTGTAGGCAAAAGCTGCAGCCACTTACCTTGTCAGTTCTGCCTCCACGGCTGGCCCTGCCACCACCTCCTCGGCCACCCCCTCCCCCCCTCCCCCCCCGCCCCCCCCGCCCCCCTCTGCCGCCACGTCCGGGGCGGCCAAGGTCTCCAAAGTTGATCTCCAGCTGGGATGTAATATCATTTGCTGGCTTGCGGAAGTGATGATCCATTACAGAGTCCTCAGCATGAGCCTGAAATGAGGGTTTCTTCATGAGGAAGGAAAAAATTCACCCAAGGAACCTTTCCATCTGTATCTGCACTCTTACCACCACAGCATATATGTTCACCTCCAAATGCAGCCTCAAATTGATGACTGATTTGAGTTAAAAACGCAGCAGTTGTTAGGAAACAAGTTATGCCACTTGTGCAGACAATAAAACCTCACACAGGCAGTTAAATAAGCACTTGAGCAAACAGGTATTTTGCATTTCCATAATTCAGGGAATATGTTCAGGCTTATATGAAACCAAACTATCACCAAGCCAGCACAGAACCTCTTTTTCTAGCACTTCTTTTCTCACTTCATATCCTGAGAAACCTTTAGGTTCTGTAAGTACATTTCATTCTTTTTAAATACTTACTTGATAACCCACCTTTATTTTGCTCAGTGAGTACACTACACTTTCTCCTTTTGCTCAGCCCTGTCTGGTTTGGGTTGGAAGGGATCTCATCCAGTTCCAACCCCTGCCACGGGCAGGGACACCTTCCGCTAAAGCAGGTTGCTCCAAGCCCCTGTGTCCAACCTGGCCTTGAACACTGCCAGGGATGGGGCAGCCACAGCTTATAAATATATAAATATTTAACACCAGGGAGATGGCAAGAACCCCTCACTGGTTTGCATCAGCCATAACAAATAGCTCAGGAGGCAGACACCGTTCAAACACAATGTAACTGAGGTAGCTGAAACATCAATGCTAGAACAGAGAACCAGTCTCACTAAGGACACTCCAAACTGTGACTCTCACCACCTCTGCCTTGACACGACACTGTCTTACAGCTGGTTGTTCACAGTGCATTCAAGCCTCGAGGAGCAAGGTGTGCACATCTAACACCATGAATACTGTTATTCAGGACACTGGAATATTTCACATTATTACACACTGAACACAAAAAGAACAGAGTGTTTTTCAAGTAATTATTCTTCCTATTTTGAACAAATAGTTGTTCCATGTGGTAAGTCAAAGCCAGGTTTTGGCACCTCTGATGATGCACACAATGTAAAACTGGATCAGACCAAGTGTTTAGCTTTCTTTCCC